CTCGTGATCCACCCGTCTCGGCCTCCCAAAGTGCTGGGATTACAGGCTTGAGCCACCGCGCCCGGCCCCTTAAACATTTTTTAATAAGATTTTTAAATGATGAAAAACTGGGAATGTGGTTTATTCATATTCGTTTTTTAAAACAATTGTGGTAAGATACACATAACAAAATGTTCCATCTCGAGCATTTTTAAGCGTCCTGTTGAGTGGCATGTTAAGTGTGTTTGCACTGTGCAGCCAGTCTGTGGGTTTTCTGGTGGCGAAATTTCGCATTCTATCAATGGTGTGTTTTAGCAGGATTTCTTGGGTTGCAAGGAACAGAAACTCTTATTTAAATTGGTTTAGGCAGGAGAGAATTAATTGGCTCTTGGAACTGAAGTCCAGCAGTAATTAGGTAATTTCAGGTATGGCTGGATCTAGGTGTTCAAGCCAAGAAACCAAGTTTCTCTTCTCCTACACAGGACCTTCCCTAGTCTCTCTCTCTCTGTGTCCCTGTCTCCTTCCCTCTTGTTCGACTTTTCTCTCTGTTGGCCTCATTCAAGGCCTACTTACTGTCCCTTAACCGTCTTCATTGGGTTGGGGGGCATGGTTTGTCAATTCCTCCCAGATCCCTGGGCCTGCTCAGCAGCCTCACAAAAGACGCCACCTCTTTCTTGCTAGCTTTGGCAAAAACACTGAGATTCACTCTCGTAGGCTGACTGCGGTTCATGCTTTGTTTTTTTTTTTTCTGAGACAGTCTCCCTCTATCACCCAGGCTGGTGTGCAGTGGCATCATCTCGGCTCACTGCAGCCTCCGCCCTCCCGGGTTCAAGTGATTCTCCTACTTCAGCCTCCTGAGTACCTGGGATTACAGGCACGCACCACCATGCCTGGCTATCTTTTTGTATTTTTAGTGGAGATGGGGTTTCACCATGTTGGCCAGGCTGGTCTCGAACTCCTGACCTCTAGTGATCCACCCGCCTTGGCCACCCAAAGTGCTGGGATTACAGGCGTGAGCCACCATGCCCGACCATTTTACTTAAAATGTTCTTTTTTTTTTTTTTTTTTTTTTTTAGAC